AAAATTTCCTGCATCTATTAAGATGACCATGTAGTTTTTGTTTTTGGCTCTGTTGATGTGGTGTAATACATTTATTGATTTGTGTATGTTAAAACATCCCTGCATTCCTGGGATGAATCCCACTTGATCATGATGTATAATCTTCTTGATGATTTGCTGCATTCTATTTGCCAGTATTTTATTAAGAATCTTTGCATCAATATTGATTAGTGAGATTGGCCTATAGTTTTCCTTTTGGTTGGGTCTTTCTTGGGCTTTGGTATCAGAGTAATACTTGCCTCCAGGAATGATTTAGGGAGGGCTGCTTCCTTTTCAATTTCATTGAAGCGTTAAAAGAGTATTGGTTTCAAATCTTCTCTAAATTTCTTGTAGAATTCAGCCATGAATCCGTCAGGATCTGGACTGTTTCTTGTTAGTAAGTTTTTAATTATGTTTTCAATTTCAATAGCTGATTTTGGGTTATTCAAAATTGCTGTATCTTCTTGGTAGTTTATGTGTTTCTAGAAATCTGTCCATTTCTTCTATGTTTTCCACTCTGAGTAGAGATTTTCAAATAGGTATTTATGATTTTTTGAATTTCCATGGGATCTGTCATAATCTCCCTCTTTTCAGTCCTTATTGCATGAACTTGGGTTTTTTTCTTCATAAGGTTAGCTAGAGGTTTGCCAATTTTGTTTATTCTCTCAAAAACAAGCTTTTTGATTCATTAACTCTTTGTATTGTTTTTTTAGTTTCAATTGCATTGATTTCTAATCTTTATAATTTCCTCTCTTCTATGAGCTTTAGGTTTAACTTCCTCCTCTTTTTCTATAAGCTTGAGATGAAGCATTCATTTGTTCATTTGTGCTCATTCTGTTTTCTTGATATGACAATTTATTGCTATATATTTCCCTCTTAAGCCCACTTTCATTGCATCCCACAGGTTGCGGTATATTGTTTCTCCATTTTTATTGAATTGTAGGTATTGCTTTATTTCTTCTTTAATTTCATCTGTTGCCCACTGGTTGTTCAAAAGGTTGTTATTTAGTTTTCATGTATTTATGCAGGTTTTGCAATTTCTTTTGCCATTAATTTCCAATTTCAGTGCACTATGGTCAGATATTATGCATGGGATAATTTCAATACCTTTGCAGCTACTTAAGAATGTTTTTTGGGATAATATATGGTCTATTTTGGAAAATGTTCTGAATGTGTATTCTGATGTGGTTGGGTAGAACACTCTGTAAACACCAATTAAGTCCAATTGCTCACAGGTATGATTCAGTTCTATTATTTCTTTGCTGACTTTTTGTCTAGTTGATCTATCTTTTTGTGACAATGGGGTGTTAAGGTCCCCTGTTATAATTGTGTTCTTGTGTATTTGGTTTTTCATGTCCATTAATATGTCTTATTTAGCTGGGTGCTCCTGTATTTGGTGCATATATATTTATAATTTTTATGTCATCTTCTTGAATTTTTCCACTAATGAGTATGTAGTGAACTTTATCTCTTTTAATCACTTTAGGTTTGAAGTTCACATTGTCTGCAAATAGGATAGTTGCCCCTGCTTTTTTGCATGAAATACTGTTTTCCATCTTTTGACTTTTAATCTATGAGTTTCCTTTTGAGTCAGATGTGTTTCTTGTATACAGCATATTGTGGGATCTTGTTTCTTGATCCATTCTGTCACCCTATTACTTTTCATAGGTGAATTGAGGCCATTTACATTTATGGATATCACTGATATTTACCTGCTTGACTTTGCCATGTTATGTTCCAGTTGTTTACTTTCTGTTTTCCCCCATTGTTTAATTGTTTGTCCTACCTGGTGGTTTCTTTCTGTTGTTCTGGGGATTGTGGTCATTTTTATCTCTATCTAGTGTGTCTTTCAGTACTCTTTCTAGAGTTGGTTTGGTGAATGTGAATTTCTTCAGTTGTTCTTTGTCATGGAAGTATCTTGTGTCTCCATTAAATTTGAATGAAAGTTTTTCTGGGTACATCAATCTGGATTGAAAGTTGTTTTATTTCAGGGCTTGAAATACCTCCTTTCAAGCTCATCTTGACTTGAGGGTTTGTTCTGAAAAGTCTGCTATTATTCTAATGGGCTTTCCTTGACAGGTGAGTTGTGTCTTTTCTCTAACAGCTTTTAATATTCTATTTTTATGCTGTGTGTCTGAGATCTTAATTATTATATGTCTGGGTGTAGATTTATGTTGGTTGTGACTGTTTGGCATTCTATATGCCTCACTTATGTGCATATCAGATTTTTTCCCCATGTTTGGAAAATTTTCTGCTATTATTTCTGTGAAAATTTTAGTTATGTGATTTGCATCGACTCCTGCATCTTCCCTGATGCCTATTAATCTTACATTGTTGCTCTTGGCATCATCTTGAAGCTGTTGGATTGTCACTTCATGCTGCTTTGTTATTTTTGAAAGTCCTATTCTTTCATAATTGCTAATTGCAATCCTGTCCTCAAGGTTCAGAATCCTATCCTCAGCTTCATTTAAAAGGTTTTCCCAGTTCTGAATAGAATTTTTTGTGTCTTGGATGTCTCTTTGAATTTGTTTCATGAATTCTGCTTGTTTTCTATATTATTCATTCAAGGTTTAAGTGCTCCCATGCTCTTGTACTTTTTTCTCTACTTCTTCTTTAGCTGTGCTCAGCAACTCCTTTACTAAGGCTGTTATTTCTATCTTTATATGGGAGAGTACTTTTGATTTCCTCTATAGCTCATGGAGTTGTTTTTTTACTTCACTATCTTTTTTTTTTTTTTTTTTTTTGGTGGTACCAGGGATCGAACTCACAACCTCACGCTTGCCAGGCAGGTGCTTATGCCGCTGAGCTAAATCCCTAGCTCTTCACTCGCTATCTTTTCAGAGATTTCTACTGTATCACTTTTGAATTCCTCTATTTCAATGTCTTCTGTAATTGCTCCAGGTGGAGCAATCTCCTGTAATTGCTCCAGGTGGACTAGATGTTTGAGATTGCATTTTGCTTTTGCATTTTGCCATTTTTCCCCTTTGAGTTAATATTTGGTCCTTCAGTCCCACTAGTGTCAACTGTTGGTAGTGTGTATCTTGGGGTCCTAATATAAGGTTGATGTTTGTCCAATTGCTGGGTCCCACAATGAATAGGTGGGCCAGTCACCTGACTTCCCACTGCAGGGCCTGTTGGGTGAGTTCTATATTCTTCCTGGGCTGACAAGCCTAGTAGTATTGATGTAGGTCAACTTTTAGTTGCTATTACTTTATCTTCAGGTTATTCGAGGTCACCAAATCTCCATGTCTATAGTGCTTGTGTTGGCTGAGGCCCTACTGTGTCCCTATTGTGTACCTGTGTGTCTCATAAGACCTTTTGATTTTCTCCAACTTGAGGAAGTCCTTACTGGCACACTCTCCACTCTGCCTGATGTTTTCTGTGTGCAGGAAGGGGTCACCCACACTCCTGCCAGACTCACCAAGGTCTTACAGTTAGCTCAAGGGAGCTTTACTACTGGCACTATTTAACCACTGTACACCTCTATTTTAGAGGCATCCTCACCACATTGACTGGAGCCTGCTGAGATCTTCTGTTTGAGTGAGGCAGTTATTGAATCTCCCTTCAATCTAGCACAGTTAATCCACTATAGTCCAAGGTTCTGAGCTGAAGGTCAATAGCAGTATTAGGTCCAGGAGGTAGGGAGTGTCCTTGAGGGGCCAGTAGATGTCCTCGGTCCAGGCACCCACTGGACGCAGGCCAAGGTCCCAGGACAGCGTGGCATTCCTCAGTGCTGACTGGAGTCATTCAGCAAGTGGGCAGTTGTGCAGGCCAAGGTCTGAGGGCAGCATGAGTTCCCCAGGGCTGCACAAGAATCTCGCAGAGCTTGGGCCAAGGTCTCTGGTCAGCGTGCTGTTCCTCAGTGCTAGCTGGAGTTGTGCCTATTTCCAGGTTTTGAGCAATGCTTCAAAGCCTCCTTGGTGCACTGGGAATCACCTGGCTCACTTTTGGCTCCCAAGGCAGACTGCTGTCAACTGCTTGCCATTTGGAGCTTTCTGGGTGTGGGGCCTGTGGGGACTCCCATGTGTCCTTTGGTGATTTCAAATGCAGGGCGTGGTCTTACCTCCTGGGAACAAAGTTCCAAGTTTTCCCCATGTGCTGAAATTCAACCCCGGGCATGCTGTCAGGGACCGTCAGGGACCGGGACTGAATTCCGGGCCCTGCTTGCTGCTTGGAGGTGGCTGGGCATGGTGCCCTTTTGCCCTTTTGCTCTATTTACTTCTGGTATCTGTTACAGCCACCATGTTGCCCCTCAGTCACAACATTCTGCCTTGGAGCTAGCCTAGTATGGACTGCAACCTCCATGAACTATGAGCTAAATAAACGTTTCCTTCCCTCATTTTGGGTGTCAGGTATTTTGTCTCAGCATTGAGAGAAAAGTAACGATGACAATATCCATGCTTTTTATACACCAACTAAATTTGTGCAGACACATGGTTATAAATCCCATATATGTGTGATTGAGTCTCAAATCAGTATCTCTGGTATGGATGTTTTTTATGTTTGTTGGGCAGGTATGTCCCACAATAAACTCAAATGTCCAGCAACATATGTCCCACAACAAACTCAACATGTTTTAAGTTGTAGCTGCTCAATATTTTCCACCTACTAGAGTCTCCATTTCAGTGTCCCAGTCATCTCCCTGGGTAAGGGGGCCTGTATCTCTCTCTCTCTCTCTCTCTCTCTCTCTCTCTCTCACGTCCAATCGACTGATTACTAAGGGCTGTCAATTCTGTCTTGTAAATAACTCTACAATTCATTTATGTAGTATGGTCCTGCTGGTTCTTTTTTATTTCTTATTGGCAATTCCTAAATGATTCAATCTATTTCCCACATTTTAGTTTGGAAGCAACTGTCCAAAATGAAAATCTTAACACACTGTCATCTAAAAATTCCTTTATGACATCTAGTAACTGCCACACACACACACACACACACACACACACACACACACACTCTTGTTGAATGAGCAAATAGACAAATTATGACTGCTTCACACTTTTCTTTTTTATTGTAGAAACAGTTATGTTCTTTCTCATTAGCCATAATATAATTGTTAGAAGAAACACCACCCAGGTTAAGCCTTTCGTCAGTTCTGTCAAAATAATAGTCCCATCAAATCAAGCTATTACAAATGAAGTTCTATTTTGCATTGTAAGCTTTTTAAATTTTTCTTTTATTAAATCAACCAGAGGGCAATGGTTCCAATTTCTATGCAGTTTTGGAATAAAATATACCAGTAAATAAAAACATAGCAATCAAAATGAAGGTGCATTTCTCAGTGACATCCTAAAATTCACAATTTTCAGCTTCAAATCCATATACATTGAGCAACTCAAAGAAATGAGTTTTGTAACATAAAGATGACTAATCCTTATTCACTGAATTATTCAAAACACATTCTTTGTAACATACTTAAGCACATTTCTGTAATATGAAGCGTATTTAGAGATATATAGCCATCATCATGTGATAAATTTAAATCTAATCCTGACCTGTTTTTCTATGAATGAATGAACATATTACTTGGGCAATCTGGCTTTTGCAGTTAATCAAGAGAATTGTATCTTTAAGGGTATCCTAGCAACCTCTCAGCAGTGAAGGAAAAACCCCACTGACAATGTGCACTGATTTAATTATGCTGCTGGACTCCATCAAACTTTGCAGTTAATAAAAAAGATACTGGAAAACAGAAACAGAAATTAAGCTACAGCTTAAAATGAGAATTACTGGTGAGAGAGATAAAGGGAAAAATTTCCTAACTAAATGAGTTTTTAGAGCATGTTTATACATAATGCATAGTCGTAAGAAGGTTGACAAAGTTATGATTTCAGTGGAAGTGTCAGAACAAATATATTAATTACTCAAGGAGATTGCTAGGCCCCAGACCAGAATTACACTGGGGTAATCACAGTTTTATGGATATATTCACAATGTATGACTCTTTATTTTCATTGACCTTTCCAGTGGTGATGTATTTTATGGGAAATGAGCCCTGAAGAAATATGCTTCAGTACCTATTTAGAAGTATAGCTGTTCTCATGATGACTGCCACCAGCCCATTGTCAATACTACACTTTCATGTTGACTGATACTCGGCACCATACAAACAGAATCCACAAGAACAGGTTTGTTCAAGCTATACTTTATCAGTTTTTGTTTGATTTTATAATAGACACAACAATTCAGGAAGCCAAAGACATACAGAAGCTTTGTGTTACAAACCAGACCTAAACTTGTGTGAACATAATGGACTTTGTGTGTAAATAAATACTCCCTCTGGGTATACATGCAAATTCTTATTTACACACATGTCCTCACAGATGCTGAGCAGTGTATACATGAGAAATGTAAACACTTAGTTCCGTTTTACTTTTATCTAAAGTATTGCCCATATACATATAGATAATTTTAAGATTTGTTAAATCTCTAGCACAGAAAATTTCTGCCCAGGACATTAAGCGTATACACATACATATATACTACTTTCTTCTCCAACTTTCAAAAACCTGAAATTGTAAGAGTCAGTGCTGAAACAAAACATATACATGAAATCGCAAATTTAAACCCATCAATGAGTTGTTTTTGAGGGCATACTATAAGGATAATGTTTTGAAGTGTTGCATTTTTTTAAAATTAGGGGATTATAGGCCACAATGAGGGAAAGCTATATTAACTACCTGGCCTTCTTGGTGTTGGGTGTTTTGATGGAATTATTCTTTCTTGACTAGCGTAAATTTTCTGACATCAGCCATAGAGAATTGCCATTTGCAGGACTAGGGATTTAGCTCAGTGGCATAAGTGCCTGCCTGGCAAGCACAAGGTCTTGAGTTTGATCCCTCGTACCAAAAAAAGGAAAAAAAATTGCCCTTTGCTGACCCCAACTTGGTTGTAGCCATTAAAAAGATAGTAGTTTCTTCTATAGTGTACAGTTTGAGAAGACAACAGTAAGTCCATGCCGCCCTTGCCTTTGTGACTGCAGCCAAGAGTGCTAAATTTGAATATGCAAAATCCCACAGATAAACTTTCCTGTATACTACAAAGAATATTCTTTATCTCACTAGTGTTATTTTAGAAAGTACTTTTGAAACTTGAGCTGCATCAACTCAAGCTGGTGTGTGTGTGTGTGTGTGTGTGTGTGTGTGTGTGTGTGTGTGTTGGGGGCGCTTGTTCATAAAGTGATTGCTGACCTAGGCCCACAAAGTTTCTGATTTAGTGAGTCTGGGACGATGGAGCCTAAGAATTAACATTTTTATCATTTTATTTTTTTAGGGAATGCTACTCTAGCTCTGGGAGACAGTTTGAGAATACCACCTAAAAGGGATGTGTAGCAAATTGTCTACTTAAATGATACTGAACCTGTTTTTCAAGAAAATGGCAGTATTGTCCAGGCCATGATTTCTTGCCTGCCTGGGGTGCAGCGTCCATCCTACTTGTAATAAAACTTAGACTTCAGTCATGGTTCCACTGTTCCATATTCAAAGCCTTGATCACAGTGTTTGATCCAATTAGTACAAACATCTTCCTATGTTGTTTGGTTCCACTGATTCTATTTCTCTATTAAAAATTATTTTAGGTAAAGAATATGAAGGTTTGTACTCATTACTCGAAGAAGTGTCTCTGTAAGTGCTTAGGAGAGTAAATCCTACAGGTATTGCCAGGACTAGAAGCAAATTTTGAAGCTAAGTTTAAGATTACACATGAAAGCTAGTTAGATAACTATACTACCAATCTCCCTTAGTTCATCAAAAAGAACAGTTTGTGCTGTCAATGTTTGATCATGTTTGTATCTAGATTTTGTAACCCGAACAACCAGTTCTGAGATAACAATGTGCAATATATTGACTGGGTTAATTCCCTTTTTTGAAATTCTGTATTAATTCTATCCTTTTTTTTTTCTGTGTTGCTTTTTAAAATTAAAAAAAGATTGCGGGAGAGAGAAGAAAGAAGAAGAAGATGAAAAAGAAGAAGAAGGAGGAGGAGGAGGAGGAGGAGAGCAAACCTTTGTTTCCAGTCATATAGATAAGTTTTCAATATCCATTATTGCCTATTACAGTAACTTGGGTTTGCTTTATTATCAGAGTTAAAAAATCAGACATCTATGATGTGCTGTTGTAGATTGTGTGAAAAGTATGCCTGTCCAGAATCAATGTCAACTGGGAAGGAAATCTGAAATTTGATATTCAGGTCACTAAAAGAGAGAAAAAAAGACAGTGACCTTTGACCACGGTATTCACAAAGGCCCCCTTGCCCTAGCAGGGGTGGGGAGCTTCATCCTGAATGCTAAAACCTGGCCTTCAACCCACAGTCCTGGCCCCTGATTTGTATCTTTTCCTCCTCCATGGAAACAGCCAGTGAAGCACAGCTATGCGTGGAAGACCGCTCCTCCCACAGGCTGCATGTTCCCCCAAACAGCAGGCAACGTGCATTCAGTGCAAGAGTGCACCCTATGCCTGTGTGTAGACAAGAATCACGTCAGTCAAAGAGAACTGATAACAGGGTAAGAAAATACATATTTATAGCACATCGACAAGGTTCTGTTAAGAAAGAAAAAGTCTGGGGTGTTACAGAAGTTTATTTTTAAATGCTGAATAATGTTCTCCCTCTATGGATATACCGTATGTTATTCTCTTATTTTCATCTCTCAAAAAAAACCTCAATCTTTATAACTCATAAGGTGTGTTCAGCCTCATTCACATCTGAGAAACCTTAAGAAAAGTTTAGTTATTGGACCAAAGTTGTAATTAGTATATGGCGCATTTGAACCCACCTCCTGACCCCAAAGCCTGGTGTTTCCCACCCTGCTTTGGCTGCCCATTCCTATTCTGAATGTTTTAGACTTCGATTATGTTCATTTATGCATGAATACATATTTCACAGATGTAACATTTAGCTTGGGAGAATGTGCTTCTGGGTCTCTCAGCCTTTTATATGAACTCTAAAATGTAAATACTTTGCATATTTCTCTTCCTGCTTAGGTAGCTCACTTTTAATAACCAATGAATCCCACAGCAAAACCCCGTACTTGTAATTCAGTCTTCTCATGGAAGCGCCCTGTTGCTGGGAATGAAGTGTATTGATAAGTCACTAATGCTTATACTAGTAAAAGTGTTTGCGGGTGTATTTTCATAAGAACCAATAATTCAGAATTCCTTTTCTCAGCACACTGTATTTCCCTATTCCACAGTAGTCTTGTCCATTTCATGAAGAAAGGTGAGTAAGCATTGTGTCCTTTCCCTGCACAAGGCCGCCAGCCCTGACAGCAGGCGGCTGGCCTTAGACTTCTGCCACAGCGAAGATTAAGCCTCTGTGTGGGGCGTGCCCACTGAAGGGAAGGTGGAGGCTTTCGGTTGTCAATTGTGATATTTTTGCCAAAAACGAGGCTTACTGGGAAAGGAGAACCAGCACGACTGAGAGGTAAACAGAATCAGCATTCAGATTCAACCACCTCCTGAACTTTCCCTGCTTTGCTGAAGTCGGTTTGAATTTATGTAACTAGTAACACTAAACTCCAAAATACAGTATTTTCTTAGAGACTATTGAATGCAATTTATGAAATCCACAATTTATGTAATGCAATAGATCAACTTCAACTTCAAAACAGGAGTTATAAAGTATCAGATACTTTAAAGGAAGTTTGTGAGAAATAAGCTAAAACATAGAAAACCAACAATTGCCATTCTGGGACCACCAGGTGTAACTGACCTTTCTTGATTTTTTTCCCCCAGTAAAACAAAGCAGCTGATATTTAAGTGCTTCCTGTTCATTCTTGGTATATCAACTAATTAAATGCATGGACAGCTACGAGACGGGCTATCTCATCAGCCTCATCTTAGAGGAAAAGAGGCATACAGAGGTTTGCAGTGTAACTGAAGACACACATGTTCCTTGAAAGGTAGGGACGGAATTACCACATTATATAACTTTAAAGTCCTGTTTTTCCTGAATTTTGTTTCCTCGTTACTGTCAACTTCTCACACCTTTCCTGTGTCACTGAATCTGTCTTCAGAAAATCCTTCCGAAGTTTATAGTTTCTCCATCCTTCCGTGGAAAAGCCTTATCCATTTCACAGCACTTTAATACTGAATACTACAGCGAGAGTAATGCAGATCTCAGTGGCACAGTGGTCTTAGTACAGACGTTTGATAATATGGAGGTTTAGAAACTTGTTCTATTTGTCTTTCAAAAAGTATTATGTCCATGTATTATATATACTTATGTTCTACTTTATGACTTTAAGAAATAATTGACAATTAGCCATGGTAATAACTGGAATGTTTGTTGAGTGCTTATAATATGCCAGGCACCCTGCCAAGCAATAACATAAATACATTTCATTTGCTGACAGCGGGCGTTAAGAAGCATTCTGAAAGATCAGTGCAAACTGAGGAACTGTAATCTGGCTGGACACATAGGGAGCAGTGGGAGGGCAGGGATGAAGCCCATCCACTCTGACAGCAGGGAACTCAGGCCTTTAGTAAGAACAAAATACTTTCAAAATGCATGAAAGAACTTCCCTATGGGAAGGGTAGGTATTGTGTAGCAGGGGAAACAGGCTTTTTTTTTTTGGAAGCAGGCTTTTAAAGGTGTTCCTCGTTAACAATTTACGGTACCTCTTTTAATCCTAAAAATTCATACTGTCACTAGGATACAAATTTCCCTTTCTCTTTTCTTCAGGAACATTTGCATTGTCTACTCAGCAGTCAGCAGGCAGGGGGTGGGGGTTATACAACAGAGGGCGCCACTAGCGCATAGGACTGTGGCTGAAAGTGAAAAGGAGAGGATGGTCGGAAAAACAGTGAGTCACACAGTAAGTTCGTGTTTGTTGCTCAGTTTAATCTGTCTTTCCATTATTTTTATTATGAGCAATATATACCATTATGATGGGTGTTACTAAGGGAGAAAAGATTAATTAAAACTGTAATTATCTGATAAGATTAGCATACTGTCTGAGCTGATTTAGGGCAGATTTATTTAATTCAGCTAAGAATACCAGATACAAAAAAGGTGAATAATTACACAAAAATTTACCCTACAGATCCTGTTTCCACAACATTTTTCTAAGAAATCCGAGTATTACTCAAATAAAGTCATAGTGTTTTAAAATTTTTATTAATGAGTTCGAAATACAAATAAATTTAAATTTTTAGAAAAAATGATTCACTAAGGTTTGTTCATAAAAAAACTGTTCTGTACATCATGTTTTTAAGCCTATAACTGAATTTTAGCTTTTAATAATTCTGTTGCTTCTAAATAAAGACGCCATCAGGTAGAAAAAAGTAACAGACTAAATATCCTGAATAAAAAATTTTCTATAAAGTTTTATTAAAACATTTAAACCTAAACAGAATAGTTTTGACCAAAAAGTAGCAGTTATAAATGAAACATTACATATTTTATAAAAAACTGCGTTACAAATAATGTTTTATATATATTAGAATGATTTGTAACATATAAAAATCTCTTTAAGAAAATCAGTACAAGTTAGCAGTTTTGGGAGATTATTCCCAATAATAAGTAACACAATTTAGACGATGATAGGTAGTACATTTTTTTTTTTTTGTCTTTTTCGTTTTTATCGGTCGAACTCATGACTGCCCGCTTGCAAGGCAGGCACTTATGTCGCTGAGCTAAATCCCCAGCCCCGGTAATACATTTTTTAAAAGACCTAGCCAAATAAGTCTCATCAAATAGTCATGAAATGACATTCACGAATAAACTTTTATAAGAATTCTTTCCTCTCATCAGTATGTATGCTTGACATCAGAAATCATACAATGAACAAATATATAGTGGATTCTTGAAAAACACCCCTCAGTTTAGAATAAGTGCCTATCTAAAGTTTTTATTCTTCCAGATACACTATTTCCTCTATTTTCACGGCATTTTCCCCTTGGTTGATGATGCATTATAGATTCTCAAAGAACAAGCACACCCAGCATACTCCTTTGCAACTGAGGTGAACTACAGACATCTAAAAGAAAACCAGTGCATTTTAACAGAAATCTATCCACCCTACTCAGCAAGGCAGAAGTTCCATTCTAAAAAACTTGCTTTAGAAGTAGTCCTTTAAGTTCAATAGTATTATCCTATTGTCTCTTTAGTGGGGAGCACAAATTCAAATCTTAAAAGTACATATTAAATTTTCCAAATAGGAATAAAAGAAATAAATGTGACAACCAGTGAAGTAAAGCTTCCTCATGTAAGAAGTTAGTAACTAAAAGATCAAAGCAAAGTAAAAGACAGCTGTGTTAATTAAGTTTGACTGGCTTGGCAACCTCCCAGAGGATTGGCGAGTCCAGCTCTTCGGAGTGTCTGGCTGGGCTGTGGAAGCGTGACACTGGGGTCTCTATCTGATTCTCTCACCCTCCCTCCGGACCTGTTTCCCTAACCGTGAAGGAAGCAGCTATTCCGCCATGTCCTTCTACCTTACTAACCATGAACTGAACCCCCTGAACTGTAGGCCATGAGCCAATTTAAACCTTTTTGTTGTCTAGGTTGTGAATGTTGGTAATACGTCCCAGCACCAGAAAGTTGACTAATATTCTTTATATTTCATTTTTTAAAAAAGCCTGCTTCATTCTTGACAAACTAGCTATACAGTGTGGATATGCTGTTTCTTTTTAATGGAGCTACTAAAAATCATTCTTTAATAAGGACTTTTTAATATTAAAAAGTAAATTTTTATGATAAATTTATGATAAATGTATATTTTAATATTTACAATCTGAGAAGAATGTAAACTCTAGCCAGTCATCTCAGTGCTACTTCTTCAATGTCATCTTCTACAGACTCAACCGCTTTTACTGCTGCTTTGTTGTTTGCCTGTTTTAATTGCTGTCTATTTGGATTCACACTTCTTCCTTCAGCAAGGAAAAAGTCTTCATCCTCGTCACATTCCCTGTCTCTACTGCTCTTACCCTTATCGCTAGGCAGAAAATTTGGAGGATCGAAGTCTCCTTTGCTGTCAGCCAGAGAATCTGGGTCACTGCTTTTAGAGGAAATGGTACTGCTGCCACTGGTACCAAATAGTTGTTCCATCAGGTTGGCTTTTTTCTCTTTTCTTGCAGTTATATCTACAGTGTCTTTACCAAAATTGTCCACACTGGTTTTTGTAAAATCACAAAGGCCACTTTTTTGCCTAAGTGGATTTGACTTCCCTGATGCTTTTGCAAATGAAGGTATGTAGCTACCAAATGAAAACTCATGTGGAGAAGCTGTACTTCTAAAATTTCCTGGTTTCTGGCTCTCCCCCTTTGGAAGTAAAAAACTGGTATCTTCCAAATGATGCCCATTAGGTAATTTCTCTGAGGAGTCAGAGAACATTTGTGTTTTGGGGCTTTTCTCTGAGTGCAGTTTTGATTCCAAATCAGGTATTAATGGTAAAGGAGGATATTTTAGTTTCTGGGGATCTTGGAACTCTCTGTCGATCTCATTCAGTTTAGCAAGCAGCATTTTAGTCTTGAGTCTCTCTTCTTCCTCTTCTTTCAATTTATCATTATTTTGAATTTGATACATTCCCATTTGGTGCCTTCCAGTTTCCAACTCTGGCTTTTCTTCTCTCTCAAATAAAGATGTCTTTTCTTTTTGCTTTTTATCAAGTTCTTCTCTTTTCCATTCTGTATGAAATCAAATTTTGAAAATGAGATTTTTATAGCAGGTAATATTTTTAAATAGGAAAATTCAATTACCATCTTCTACAAAGCAATAATTTAGGTATTATTACAGTGAAGATGAACATCATAAAATTTCATCTCTATACTAGATAGTTGGGATTAGGAACAATATATTTGATATAGACTGATTTTAAGATTTACATTTAGGGAAAATATTTTGTCTTCAAGGTGTGAATAGGGAAAGTTATTTTTACAACATATGCTGTATATTTCATGGCAAGTTGGTGGAAAGCGTGGATGGAGTAAAGACATTTGCATTTAAAAATAAGCCCTTTGGTGCCATATGCTTAACAAGATACATCACTTATTCTGATAGCACATGCATAAAGACACAAGGGACAAAGCCCAAATGAAGAATATTCAGCTTTTAAAAATGGATTCCTAAAAATGTTGTTAATCTCACAAAGGAGCTGTTCTAGAATAAAGGAGGAGATATAAAAACTAAGTTAATTCATGTTTATGTTTTTTTTTTTTTTTTTTTTTTGTCTTTTTCCTTTTTATCAGTACCGGGGATCAAACTCACGACTGCCTGCTTACAAGGCAGGCGCTTATGCCGCTGAGCTAAATCCCCAGCCCCTATGATTATGTTTTGAAAGAAGAATACTATATTGTCTTCACTGACAGAATCCAAATATGGACAAAAGATTAATGAATGCTTTATTATTAGCTAAATTTCCTGAGGCTGAAAACTACACTGGAATGATGTAGGAGAATGTCCTTGTTTGGGGGAAATACACACAAAAGTATTTAAGGGATAAATACGAAGTATTCGATTCACTCTTAAATAGTCTTTTATTATTCTTACCACTTTTCTTTAAGTTTGAAATTATTTCCAAATGAAAATATTAAAATATGTAAGAATACCACTGGTCTGATAATTTCAATAAATGACATACATTCTCACTGATGTTAGAGATCATTTCAGATAGACTCCGGGAGGATAAAACAGTCTGAAGAATAAAGGCGAATAACGGTCTTCTGCTATTTTATTTCTTTCCTTGTAGATGGGGTTGACCACAATACTGAACTTTCTATTTTGTACTTTAACATATGAAAGCAGCTGGCTCTTGGCCAACAGTGGTGGACATGCAGTTGCTATGTCAACAGCCATACTGCGTTTATACATACGGATACAAGTGACAATTGAGTCATGACTTTATGTTCCATGAGGTCCAGCTCAAAAAAATAAAAGGGTTTTTCTTTAAGCAGATACTGTAATAACTAAGAGGATATGTTGAGAAGAGTAGTCTGGGATCCCTCCTGCTCACATCTTTATGGCACTTTATCCAAATAAAAATGAACTTATTTCTAAAGTTATCTCCAGTGTCTGAACTTATGTGAGTTGGCTCATTAACTTTTCATATTAATGGTTAAACACATTAAGTTTATTTTATAACTTAAAATCAAGGAAAAACTAATGGAAAATATTCGGGCCTCATAATTCATTGATTGTTTATGCTTAAACTCATAAGGACTAGAGAATCTCAAATTCAAGCCAAGGGAGTGATTTTCACTTGTCTCTTCATCAATTTTCATTAATACACAATAAATGTCTTTTTCTTTCATCTGAATCCTGCTTCATCTACATTTTCTGAAGGTAACTTTTCCTTTTATTTCCTAGCCACCCCGAAACAATTCAGTCTTCAACTTTTTTCTTTCTTTAATAACTTCATTCAAATATTTATGACTCTTACTACACCGTTTCTTATTCTATATTACCAAGTCTCAGTTCTGCTGGGAGATACTAAGGGACCCTTTTCCCAGAGGAAAGAACTTGTTACTTGCTCAAGCAAATATTCCTCTTACCATCCTCCAGCTTCTCAGCCCCTGTATGCAGTCCTTGATCTTTAAAGTGTTTTTCGTCTTTTTCCACCATTGGGCTTAGAATCCGTGCTTCTTTGTGCTCATCTTGCTCTGGAGATTCCAGGTCCTACGACAGATTTTTATAATGCAAATTTAAAAGAGGAAAATTTATCTTCCAGCCGGGTGTGCTAGTGCATGCCAGTAATTCCAGCACTCAGGAAGCTGAGGCAGGAGGATCACTGCAAGCTTGAGGCCAGCCTTGGCTACAAAGTTAGTTCAAGGCCAGCCTGAACTGCATAGAGAGACCTTGTCTCAAAAAGATCAAAAAAATGTATTTTTAAATCTTTCATAAAGCATGATGACTAGTTAGAAATTAAAACAAATTTGCATTAAATAAATCAAATCACAAGTTATCATCACGCTTCAAAGCCACACAGAATTACTTTAGCAAAATTTCAAAGTAGTTATGTCAAAACCAATAGAATGGAGGTAAAGCTAACAACATCTGTAAAATTCTAAAGTTACAGAAGTATACTTGCTTTGTACATTTCACAATGAAATGTGATTAATTCAGTTAACAAGAAATGACTGTTAACCAACTATGGTAGCTACCTGAGGTGTTGCTGAAATATAACACAGGTAGTTTACTGAATGTTTCAAGTGCTTGCTATGTCCATGTAATAAATTCAACAATATTTAAAGCAAGTAAGAGAATGGTATGAACTTAAAACTCCTTTGTTTCCTATGTCTCCTTTTAGAAAAGTAAGCCATCTAACAGAACTGACTGCTCATTTGCTCGCCTCCCTTGCACATAGGTAAGACCAAAGAGGAAAAAGTATAAACACGTATAACCCTGATCACAGTTATAGAAACAGCTAGCTTTCTTCTTTTTCACAGGAATCGGGAGCCATTTACAGCCAGATAGAAGTGGACTCACTCTAAAATGGAAGATCAATAAGACGGAGAATGACTACCATAAAAATCAAATACAGCTCTGCACTAACCACTGACTTTGGTCTACTGTGTGAGACAGAAACCTGTAACTTATGTCAACTACTGTATTGAGTCTCTCTAATAGCAAATATCTATGTACTAAGCTAGCAGTGCTTGAGAAACTTTGATTAGTCATCACCACCCTGACAATTAATCCACCCCCATTTTTTAGATGAGGAAACTGAGGCTCCAAATAGATAAAATTTAATTAAAAAGCAGTGCTAGCAGCCCTAACTATAAAGCTATATTCTTTTCCTATAGAGCTATATTCTTTTCCTATTATCAAACTGCTGTTCCTCCTGCTAAATCTTATAGAGACCAAAATGTTTTAAAGTTAAAATATTCTAAGCTCTCTCATTTCAAAGATACAATTCAACATGAGCTTGTCTTGATGCTACAAACACAGGGGGAACAAACAGATACAACTAACATGTCTAACTTTGAAATAAAACAAACACTAAAATACACAGAGAGATCAAATCAGTCCGTCCTTTCTGTTTTATACCATAAGAAGAGCTCTCATATATGCTCCCAGGAAAATTTATAAGTTACATAAACATATGAATTCATTGGAATTTAGACTGTAAATATTAAAAAAGGACCCGCCAGCGATTCAGAATGAAAGACCTTTTATGTGAAGGCCTAGTACTGATTTCCTGAATCCCTTCTAAATTCAGTAGTATAAAATCAGATTCCAGCCATGTTCAGCATTCGGTTAACGTACAAATGTCTCTTACAAAGAGGCAAAACAATTTATTCTAGTTAAATTCTAACAATTTGAAAACTACTGTAGTTTGCTGTTAAACACAAAAACATTTAGGGTTTTCTAAGACCATCTGGGTGTATAAAAGATATATTCTGAAAACATATTCTTTTACTTCCAACCCAGAAGGTACGTTCAGTCTCTGAAGTACCTGCAATGCAGCGAGTTAATCTGCAGGGACTTAATGAAGTACAGATGTCTCTCTTGCTCTTTAAAAGGCTAATTAAGTGTTTGTTCACGTGTAGCACTAGCTCCCTTGCTGAAGCGTCCACGTTTTTAAGAATAACTTCAAATCTACAGTTTGGAACACAATCATATGGCTGTACTCACCAAGGTAAGATGCTCTGGTTCTTCCCACTTGTTTTCATAACACAGAGTTATTTCTGGTGTTACAGGAAATTCTTCTGCTTCAGACTCTTCGGTGGTTTGTACTCCTTTGGTACACAGGTCTGTAAAATCACTCTGGCATGCAGCTACCATTAAAAGTATAAAAGATTTTTTTCTAAGGCCATTGGAATGATAAGATATATGGAATTCCACTGGTATATAGTCCTAATTCAAGTAAGATAACTGAGTTACACTAGTTTAATGAGTGTAGCTTATTAAAATTTTTAAAGGATTTAACTGGAAATTATGTGATTTGGGGAAATTCTGACTGTAAATGCTACTAACACTTTACAAAGTTTGTTCTGAATATTTGAAATTCATAAAATTATACTTTTTGAAAAGTGAAACCACATCAAAATATTTACCAGTGAAATTAAATGATATTTGGAATTTGTTTTAAAATATTCTAGAAAAAGTAGGAAAAGGAGATGAAATAAAGCTGGGGAAAGTTAGGGTGATGTGTAAAGCTTCATTTCCCATCTTTTCTATTCTGAGGACATCTTAAAAAATATGTAAAACAATCTTAATGACTTCAGATGGAATAACCTGGCCAAAGTTGAATTCCAACACAATTCATAACTTCTAAATAACCTATATGTCCATCCACCTGTGAATGGAGAAAGAAAATGTGGTATTTACCCACAATGCAGTACTACTCTGCCTTGTATAAAGGATAAACTTGAGTCACTTATCAGAACGTGAATGTAGCTTGAGACCATAATATTAAGTGAAATAAATCAGACACTAGCTTAAATATTGCATTCTTTCTTTCTTTTTTGGTACAAGGAATCAAACTCAGGACCTCACACCTACCAGGCAGGCACTGTGCCACTGAGCTGCATCTCCGACACTTTCATGGTTTCTTACATGAGAAGCCCAAACTATAAATTAAGAGCAAAATAAAAGATAATAGGGAGTAGAAAAATCTTTCTCAGGTGGGAAAGAGATCAAGAGATGGGGGAAAGAGATGAAAAAAGAATTAAGATATGTTATATATGTGTACCAACTCCCCACAAGGAACGTAATCATTATGTACTACAAACATGTAATAATGATAAACAGAAAAAGGATTTCTGAAAATTAAATTGCAAGGCACCATAGTGAGGTTCTTTCCTCCCCTCTCCTTCTACTTCAGAATGTATTTTACTATTAATAACTGTCATATCAATTTCTGAACAACAATAGCTACTATACCATTTTTTCTTGATGAATTTTTCTCTTCCTTCTTTGGAGAGCACTTTGGCATACGGTTAGAATATATGTTTTTTATATCCAGTTCTCTCTCTTTTTCCTGAAAGCAAACGCAACACAATTAAGGAAGTAAAGTCTCAGTTTAAAACAAAACAAGTGTCTTCACTTTGTCAATTGGCATTTTCCTTACACATTGAACTGAACCAATCAAACATTTCTAGAACATTTAGGCCAGGGAAGAGCAATGATTCTCCCTAAAAATTCCAATGTATCCTGATAGGTTACAAAAAAAAGGTGAATAAGGCAATCTTTATTTTGTAACTTCTACCGGATGGAGATAGTAGTTCCTTAACTGTCACCCAGTCATAGAGACAAAGCACTCAGAATCTTTTAAATATAGTTTCTGAGTTACTAACAAAAATTTGACCATCTGGGGCTGGGAATATATCATCAGCAGCACAGTGCCTGCCTGGCAAGTGCGAGGTTGTGAGTTCAATCCCTAGTACCAAAATAAATAAATAAACTAACCATTCTTTTAAACAGAGGTATTCTCGACTGTCTGTCACAGCACTTTCTCTAAGAAATGAAACCATGTAAAATAATGCATAATTCTGCACAATTCTGCACAAAATTTCAACTCATCAATGGTAAAATTTAAAAATCTGCTTTAACAAAATCATAATTTGAATGCTACATCTAAACACTGTGAAAATGAAGGCATTATTGGAAACAGCTTTAAGAAGAATCAATGATGGGGTTAATCTGAAGAATATTAGACTATTTAACCATTAACACAAACGCTAACTCACATAATTTTCCACTAGGAATTTACTTATTTTAACCACACTGCTCCTATTGTAACTAAATTTTACCTTGTTAAAGTGATTATGTCAATAAACTTTTTCTTTGTAGAATTTTATAGATTATATCTTATAAACATATTTAAAACGTGTTTTAAAATATTAGATTTTAATCTAACATATTGTAAGAGAAACATACTATTTGAAATAAAGTGCTTACCTTTAATTTGTGATAAAGTTGTTGTAGCTCCTTTTGAAGAACTTTATTTTCATCATGAGCCTCAAAGGTTCTTTTCCTTTCAGCAAGCAACTGTCGCTGGAAACTGTTAGTACTCAGCTCGAGGTTTTTTGACAGTTCCTGTGTGTACACACACAGTCGTAAACAGTATTTCAAAAGAATCCAAGAGTAAAACACAGCCACGCACAGTGTCAAAATGATGATTTTAGTAGTAGTACAATATAAGACAAATCAGGGTTATGGATTTCCTTGTGTGCACACACACACGGTCAGTTAAATTTGGAGCAAAAGACAATCAAAGGGTGTGATGAAAAACACACGCTTTCAGAAATCATTGCTTGGGCAAATAGTTAAATATACTGTGCTATTAAAAGATACAGAGATTACATGAAAAGCATCTCTATAGAGAAAAATATCAGCTACTGCCATGCATTCAAGCCTGTTCCATGAAGTTTATGAAAATATGTAAGTTAAAATATTTTCTTTTAGACTATATTGTCATGATACCATTTCTAAATTCTAGATGAAAGAAAAATGCCTTTTACGTATAAAGATATTACAAAATCACAATGAAATAGTTATAATTCCATTACTCTGTGATTATCACTGCCAACATTTTAGTGTGCCAACATTTTAGTGTATATGAGACTTTTATAAATTTTTCTAATTAAATATCATAAATGTCTAAGACAATAGACCTTTACACTAATATATTTTAAAATGAAATAGTAGTCTATCTTTAGATTGTTATAACATACTTAAGCAAATTCTGCTGTTCAACATCAGGGTGTTTTCCAATTTTCTTATAGTGAATCCTACTACAGACAATTTTACTCATATTTTTTATTATATCCTCAAGGTAAATGTTAAGAAATATAGTTCCTTGAACCTTACTGAAATGATGAATTCCTAGTCTTTGAAATTGTGAAAAGAAGATAAGCCAGTGTGAGAAAAAAATATATATACATGTATACCATAATTCAATAATAAACTGCTCAGTAAAAAAGAGGAAACATTTGAACAGATATTTCACCAAAGAAGATAGACTTATAATTAGGCACAAAGAATGATGCTTCAATATCATTAGCCATAAAGGAAATGCAAATTAAAGCCATAATGAGAAATTAGACATGTATTACAATGTCTAAAACTTCAACAACTAGGCAATATCTGCAATAAGATGGTTAAGTCTCAATTTGAAGCCAGGTATTAAAAAATACATACTGTATGATGATGACTCTATTTATTGTTAAAAATGCAAACTAGTTCATAGGAACAAAAAGTAGATCAGTTGAGGATTGGCATGCAGGGATGGAAAAGAAGGTAGGAACACAAAGGAATTAGAAAGCCATACATAAAAAAACTATAAAATTGTAAAAGTTCAAAAATTGGAGTTTCATGGTTGACAGACATTTGTACAATTTTAAGACTTTTGGAAAGCATTACCAAAATGTCCTCAGGGAATGTTTTAACAATTTATTGCCTTCAAAGTCTAACAGCCTTTATTTCATCACATTCTTAATAAGATATCCTAATTCTTTATCAGATTATCCTTCCAAGAAAAAATGTATAATTAATTTGCATTTCTTTGATTACTGCTGAGGTTAATTTTCATAATCAGTCACCTATAGTCTTGGCCTATTGTTATTTTACAATGTAATAGGAATCTAAAATAATGACAAAATATGGGGAAAGTAAATTGAAAAACAAAAATGTGAGAAAAGTAATTGGCAGGAAAAAGCTAAGAAATTTCTAAAACTAAAGATATGACAAAAAGGATAGGATTGGAAACATCATGATAATTACTGGATACGGAAAAAAATCAATGGATGCCAATTTTAATGAATGAGGTAATTTACATATGCTCAGAGCAGCCAACCACAAACTCTTTACTGGTTTAAATGGAAGGGGAAGAACAGTCACTGTACATATGGCAGAAAAATCATGGAATGCATTGGTGAGGTGATAAACATCACCAGTGAAGGCCAGGTGAGCACCATGTGCCTCTAGTGCTATCTTAAGCAGGAAATAGGGAGAGGGCAAGATGGCCTGGAACTTCACAAAGCAGCCGGGGTACTGAGGAGATGGACTGGGAAAATACTGCAATCAACAGTAGAAAAGTGATACTTAATAAAGCCAGAAAAGTAGCAAGAGAAACAAAATATCCTATCATCTGCTACTCTGGCTCCACAGCCAAGGGAAGGGCATCTCCCCTCCCAAAGGGTAAAAGTAAAACCCTTCAGCATAAGTAAGCACAATTCTAGCTGTTGGAAAATTTCACACCCTTGCAGGCTACGGGACTACAAAAGTAAGAGTCATGAAATCTGCAACAGTAGCCCAGCTTTGAGGGAGCAATTCACTTCATTGCAGAAAACCTCAGGGTGCAATAGCCAGGAGTCATCTTGAGGAGGGATAAATTTTCTGAATTTTTGTCTGTTTTAGGAGTCAAAAACCTCTACACACTCCTGCCTGGCACCGAGGCAGCCCACAGCACTGGCTGGCAGGTAGCGATCTCATTAGTCAGACCCATCTCCAAGAAGCAACTGACACAAATGCCCTGAGAGTGCCACACTGGGGAGCAGGGAGCCTGCTCTCTGGGCCCAGGGGGTGGCCAGGCTCGGGTGGTTCCACACAACTCTCTCACCTTTCCTAGATCAGGCAGAGAAGTCACTAGAGATTCCTGCTGGTACAATTTCCAAACAGCCCCTGTGGGTCTGATGCTTTCTCACTGAACCTACTGAAGACACGAGTAGAAAATGGGGACAAGGAAGGCTCCCAGCCCTCCTTCTGTCCTCTGGGCACAGCCTGTAAAGGTCGGAAGATGGATGTTACCCAGTCCTGGGTAACACCATCTCCTGAGAGTACCTCAGCTGGCAGGAACTTTGCCCAGATCAGCCTTAAACTACTTCCGTTTAACCCCTGGTGGGAACTACCACAGAAAGCAGTGGGAGAGAACAGCCCTCAGCAGTGCTCTGCCCTGAGGAGCATACAGCCAGGAGTCTGAGGTCCTGCTTCTGTAATGCCCACAGTCGAGCAGAGAGGAATAACACAACTTTTGCTTCCCCTGCACTTTACTCAGGGCATAGATCACACCCGCCTCTTGTGAGATCACCAACTTCTTACAAGATTGGGAGTGAGCACCATAAAAGAGGTATCGTGATTCTTGCCTCCACCTCTCCTTGTGAAGCACATGCATCTTAAATACTCTCTAATCAGAAGACACATCTTGGCTAAGTGGGTTGGAGGCGCCTACATCTACCTTCTTGTGTGTCTGGAGGACTGTGGAATTATAAGCAAGCAGGCGAGCATCACCAATTCCAGAGGCCCTGTGACCTGTGTTAAGTGCCCAGTGTACTCTGCCCCAAGCCCAGCCTGTTCGGGACCCTCAAGCCTTCCAGGTGCAGAGAAGTGGCTAAGTGGGCCCGAGGTGTCTACATCCGCCTCCCCATTCTGGCTGCGCTCTGAGAACTGGGGAGTTCCAAGCAAGCAGGTGGGTGCACACTGTTCCTAGAGCCCAGCCTGTCTGGAACTACAGAGTTCTAAGCAGGCAGAAGACTGCCACTGGTTCCAGAGGCCCAGCAGCCTGGGGGAACTGGGTGCCAGCATCCCAGGAGCTGGGAACATAGAAGTGGATTTCCAACAGACCCTGAGGAAGCTTTCAAATAACACTTGAAACACAAAAACATAGGAAAATGACAAAACGAAAGACCGAACTACAACCTCAAACCTCCAGCCCATCTCAAGAAACCCTAGGAGCGATGTATATAGAAGAAAATATATGCCATACACCTCAAATATTGGACCTAATAGCTACTGAAATAAACAAGTAACTCCGGGAAGCTTTAAAAGAACTCAAAATCGAAATAATCTCCCAGGTAAAAGAAGAAATGATAAAAGAAATGAAAGAGATTCTGAATATATCTAAAGAAAACACAGTTAAAAATTGGAGGAACTAAACAAAAAGATAGAATCCCTAGATGAGCAATATAAAAAACAAACAGAACACATAAAGCCGATGCCCAGAGATACCCAGGAAATCAAAAACTCCACTGAAAGCTGTAAAAACCACCTCAATGAAAGTGAAGATAGAATTTCAGACCTTGAGGACAGGATTGCAGCCAGTGAACAGAAAAGGAAAGATCTTTTAAAAATAACAAGGAATCAGGAAATAACAATTCAACAACTGAAAGATGATGCAAAGAAAAACAACATAAGATTGATAGGGATAAATGAAAAAGAAGGGGACAACACAGAGGATGTCAAAAGGATATTTAGAGAAGTAATAGCTGAAAATTTCCCAAGCATGAGATCAGAAACAAACATCAGATTCAGTGAAGCCTATAGAACCCCAAATGGTCATAACCAAAATAAAACTACACCCAGACATATAATAATCACCATCCCAGAAATCCAACACAAGAATAGATTCTTAAAAGCAGTCAGAGAGAAAAGACAGATCATTTATAAAGGAAAACCTATCAGAATCTCAGCAGACTTCTCAGCAAAAACAATAAAGTCAAGAAGAGCATGGAGTGAAGTATTCCAGATCCTAAAGCAAAATGATTTCCAACCTAGACTGATGTACCCTGCAAAACTATTATTCAAAATGAATGGTGAAATACGATACTTCCATGACAAACAACAGCTGAAGAACTTCAAAAACATCAAGCCAACCCTGCAAAAAATATTGAGAGACAGTTACAGAACAGAAAGATAAAGATGTGACAGCAGAAAGATAACAGGTCAACAATAAACCAGCATATAACAGTTATAACCATTAATGTAAATGGTCTCAATGCACCAATCAAAAGAAACAGACTAGCAGAATGGATCAAGAAACAAAATCCAACCATATGCTGTTTACAGGAAACCCATCTAACCCAGAAGGATACTCACAGACTGAAAGTCAAAGGATGAAAAACAATACTTCATGCAACAGGAATCCAAAAAAAAAAAAAAAAGCAGCAGTAGCCATTCTGTTTGCAGACATCATGAACTTTAAACCAACAATGACCATAAAGGACAAAGAAGGTCACTACATACTCATTAGGGGAAAACTCCAAGAAGAAGAGATAACTATCTTAAATATATACGCACAAACTCCAGAGCACCCAGTTATA